ACACCAAGTTAGCATTGCATTCTGAACAGGTGGTTACATTTTTGTGAAATGTGAAACAAATGGTGATGACCCAAATGGCCAGAGTAATGTCCAGTGAGTATAACAAACATGTGAGAACTTATTCCACACAAGAAAAACATTGTTCTCATGTTTCCAGTTCAAGAAAAAAATACACGTCTTTTTAAATCAAACAAAATATTTCTAATCACTCAGGTCAGATAAAGGAAGATCCCTTTATCTGTGCCTTTTGGTTCAATTATGCGCCTTTTGTGTCAACTGTATGTTTGTGCCATACACACCTGAATTAGAGCCACTATTCAGTGTGTGTTTCGTCTGTCGATGTCGTGTCATAAGGTCACACTGTAGGGGAGGTGTGAAATACTGAGTGATGATTTTAATGTGGCTCTGAATTCTCACGCAGCTATTTTAATAACATGAGGGGATTTATGATATGAGTTACTGCGTCATTTGCAGGTTATTAAATTTAATTACAAAATAATATTTACATAACACAATGTTTTATTATCATTCATGAACTGGGGGTTGAGGAAATCTCCCAGTTGACTTGCAGAGGTGCAGTCTGGGATGGAAAGCTATGTGGAAGTAAGTTTGGGATGTTTCTTTGGGACTTTCTCTTTATGTTTTCATGTCTTTCTGTCTTTCTCCCTCTCAGAAAAAAAATAAAAATAAAATAACACCATGACTTAGTTTTAATGTTGCAACCAAACATCTCCCACACTAATGCTGATAATTGAAATCATGTTTAAGCAGTAAATGAGTTCACAGTCTTGCCGAAAACAGAGTGTAAATTAAATCCTGCAAGTGCGGATGTGGGACAGATGGAGCTTAGGTGAGACTTCAAACCGAGATCTCAAACAGACAAAATATGTCAGACATCACAGACAGTCTACAGGCCTTAGTGTTGGTGAGAGAGCACAAATTTGGCTTTAGTTTGGACAAAGCATTGGATTCACCTAGGCACAAGTCCTTACAGGCTCAAGCAGAATATGCAGCTTTTAGCCATATTTTCAGATGTGATTTAGAGGGAAACTCAATGCAATGGATTTAAACATGGTAAAAATGGAGCTGAGATGACAGGGCTGGATTTAGCAGGGCTCTGGTGTGGGCACACTTGCACATATATTCAGGGTGCGAATTACGCAGTGACCATCGGGGGGGAGGGGGGGATTTTTAAAATAATTTTTAATTACATAATGTGCCGATTAATTAATCAAATGAATCTCTAATTAATGAGATTAATTAATTAACATGTACATCATGTGCCGATTAAAGATAAAGTTATTATTAAAGATAATAGTTGTGTTAATTTAGAAAAAAAAAAAACACTGAATAGACATTACAAAAAGGTAGCTGAAATATATGTAGCTTTAGAAAGAAATATTTTAATTCAACATAAAAAAATACAAATAAATAGTGAAATATGAAATTATTTGAAAAAGAAACATTACTCTGAATATAAAACTAAATGTGCCAGTAGGTGGTGGCAAATCCCTGTCTTAAGTGGGTCATTCAATCATTAATTCAATCGATTTTTTCAAATGGCTGATTCAATCAGAAACGAAGCAAGTGACTGCCTTTATGAATGGTTCACTGAATCATTGATTCACTCGATTAATTTAAAAACGTGGATTCATTAATGAAACACCGCTGTGTGTTGATCTGAGACGCTCAACAGTTCTCCTAGGGCTTTATTTTAATTTGTGAAATTACTGACAATGTGTCTAAAATTTAATTATTCACACCTTTACCTTTATCTTAATTTTTAGGTAAAAACTTTCTACCAGCCAATGATGATTCTGAAAGAAAGCACAATGTTTGTTATAGTAACACATGCAGCTTTCACGCGCATCTGACTGACAGAACCGCGCGGTTGTATTTCAGCGGTGCTGTTAATGTTATGGATATTTTAGCAAATAATTTGCTCCATAAATTCAGTTCAGCAGCATTAAGTTGAAGAGGTTAAACTTTATCACTCGACTGAATAAACGCGTGCATTTTAGGTGCTCTTGCTCCGTCCAAGCAATAAATGCACGTCTTTGAATGCACTATAGCGTATTCTTCAACCGCTCAGGTACTGTCAATACGACCCATTTCAGGAGTTGCCAAAATTATATTTTAAAATCAGTTAGGGCTATAGAAATGCATATTACTATTTACAAGTAAATCTCCATATTATGCGTAGGCTAGCCTTCTTTCTATCTGACCCCCCCCTACATCTAGTTTAGACAGCCATCAGGGGGGTCTGAAAAGCCTTCTTTAGGGGGGTCAGACCCCCCCAAACCCCCCTGTAATTCGCACCCTGCATATAATGGGTTTTATAGCGCTATCCTGTTTATGCATCAGGGAAGAGCTGCTGGACTTGTAGCGGTAAAGGAGGATTTCAGTTGTATCATACTTTGCATTTAAAAGCACAGGACAAAAGCGAAGCGTCCTCTCTCCTGCCTGACCCTTTAATACATGGCAGGGCCAAATCCACAGCCCAATGCAAATGAGTGCGTGCAATGTTAGTGCTAGCAAACAGACACAGGCACTGACTGCTAATGAGATGTGTATGCTTCCCATTGCTGCTTGTTTTGGGAGGTTTGAGCCATGGAATTAATGACTGCCACATTCCTACAGGCAGGGTGCAGGCAGCTATGGAAAAGACAAAGTGAGCCGAGCGACACACTAATTCACCCTTGGGTGGAATGGGTAGAGGAGCCTTTTCAGCTCTAGAGAGTTCTAGAAATCGTCTGTGCTTGTCTGAATGCTGTCTGTTTGTGTGTCATATCCATTCAGGTGCATAGTGGGATATTTTCATGAATATTGCCATGAATATTCATAAATATATCTAGAGACTGTATCTGTGATATATTTTTTTACACTATATGTCAGATATTTAGGCCTACATGAATTTACCACACCACAAAAAAATTTTTTAATAAAATAAAATAAAATAAATAAATGTTCCTGTTTAAAGACACTTAATATTCAATAATATTATCAATCTGATTGCACTGACACTATCGGATGAGAACAAAACTGGAACGGAATTGAGCTGGATGATGAAACTATTGTCTGAATCAAATTATTTTCATAATTGATGAATTTTGCAACATCGACACTGCCATTGAACTGATTTGGATGGGAGTGAGGTTTAAGGGGGTGAGTGTAACAGAGGCCAGCTGGTCGGTGCTGTGCTGGTAAACCTCGCTCTCCTGATCTCAAGAGGTGCACTAGCGACTGATGCTAGAGGCTGTAGTCTTTAGCCTCCTTGTTAGTGCACCCGCCTCCCATGCCGGCAACCCAGGTTCAAGTCCCGCTTGGAGAGGGTGTGAGTATGACCCGGGTGGGGGATTGTACAAGGAACCACAAAAACAAGTCTTTAATAATATCTTTGGTGAATTATTGGTGTTTTACTGCCACTAGTGTTCATTTCAGCTTAAAGCTATAGTGAGTTGTGTAGGGCTGCCCCCTAATAGTCGTCTAACCTTTAGTCGACAAGAAGAGGCTTGGTCGACCAACATTTTATTAGTCGCAGAAAAAAAAAAATCCACAGGTAGTGCACTGACAGATCGTAAATGGCTGGATTTTGTGGTAATACAGTACATCCAAACGCTCGCCTATAATTCATCAACCTCAAATATGGCTTATCATCTGAAATATGTAAGTAGTAGCAACTTTACATGGCAGCTCAATCTAATGTTAATCTAGAAAAATGTGCACTATTCAGTGTGAAAGCTGAACAGTAGCACGCTCACAGCATGACAGATGGAGGCGCCGGTGCGGTCACTTGGTCTTAAAATACTCCATCATTTTGGTCATACAGATAACAGTAATACATCTTTTGAATCTGTAAAGCCTCTACGTTTATTTGTGTGCACTCACTATAACAACAAAACATTGCGCTTTTGTAAAATAATGAAAGCAAACAGGGTGCGCTTTCTGCCGTGTCGGCCTCTGTGAACTTGAACGCGAAACTCCGTGTATACTTCCCTTACAGACATGAAAAATATATCTATAGAGAGTGAAATGTCTACTTTCAAATGAACCAATTCAAATGGAGAACAAATATTCTCAGATTATGTAACCCGTATAAAACTTGCATGCAGGTGCAACCACTACTGTGGTGATGACGAGTCAGTGTCACCGACTTCATCTCTTAAGCCGAAAACACTAGTTTATCAATATATTATTAAAATGTTAATGCAGTTTGATCTTACTGTTTTTCCCTGACACATTCATAATCATTACTTCTGCCGGTGTGCTGTGGCAAGCTTTATGCGTGCGCCTGAGCTCTTATTAGGCTATGTAGGCAACTAAAGTCTCATTATAATGATTTAAATGGTTCATTAATAAACATTTGATTAGTCGACTAATGCTTAAAATGAACGACTACTAGTCGACCAGAAAAATCTTTAGTTGAGGGCAGCCCTAGAATTGTGTATAGGTTTGTTTTTTTAGTTTTGCCGAAATGTCAGTAGAAGCTGGTTTTATAATGAGCCTATGTTGAAATCTCATGAGTATAACAAAATGAGTCAAACAGCAAGAACAATTTCCATTTTGGCGAACTCTTTAAGTTTTGAACAAGATATTTTGTAGTTTTAGTTATTATTTTGTCTTGTTGAATATAATTAAAATTCATGTAAATATAAAAAGACATTATTTATAGGAGCTCTCTAAAATGCAAAACATGTTCTGCAATTATCTATGTAAACTTATGTAAACTCATGAGCACAACTGTACGTGGTTTGTGAGAGTGTTTCTAGGAGTTGATGTGGGACTGTTTGAAATAGGAGGGGGCTCTTTATGAAACCAAACGCGAAAACACACTCAGTCATTCGGCATAATGAATGTGAAAAGCGCTGAGACCAACAGCGGCCTGAAAAACAAATCTCTCCCTGAGGGATGAGGAGTGCTTCCAGATTGACATCTCAGGTGTTTCCATGTGGTTTGTGTTGACCCATTTCCCCGTCTCTGCGTTGAATAATGCTGTAGTTTGGGGGGACAGTGAGTTTGTGACTAATGGGTGTCATACTCCCAGAAAAGGAAGCTATAGTCCACCTACAGCATATGCATTTAGATAAAAACTTTTTTTACCAAGCTATAAATCCATATTTTTCACATACAAATAAATACACTGTGTGGAAACCCCCTTCTAATTCATGACTTTGGCTATTCCAGTAAAAACGAATGATGTGCTTCCAATTTTGTTGAAACAGTTTGGGGTGTCCCTATGCACAAAGTAATGTCCAAAAATATATGATTTACTGAGTCTGTTGTGAAAGAACTTAACTGGCCTACAAAACCCTAACCTGGATGACACTGAACACCTTTAGGAAGGCTGCAACACTGCATGTTAAAAAGTTTAAACGCCTGGTGGAAACATCAGCAAACGTCTCGGTTACGTATGTAACCCTCATTCCCTGAAGGAGGGAACGGACACGTCACGTCGGTGACCGACAAATTGGGATCTCGCTTAGAGAGACCAATCCACTTCGAGTGTAAACTAAATGAGCCAATGCAGATTGGCATGCGATGATTCCATTCAGCTGCCGCTGATCACAGCGTGAGCATAAAAAGGCAGCCGGTGCAACGCATACCAGGTTTTTGCTGAGGAGTCGAGCCGGTGACCCGGCCGCTAAGCTGTGGTTACATACGTAACCGAGACGTACCCTTTCAGTCGGTCACTCTCGATGTCACGTCGGCGACCGACGAATTGGGATCCCTACCAAAGCGCCATGGATGCTGCCCCTTTCAGTGTCCTGTGAGAGCCTCCTGCGCCCCTTTTTGGTGTAGGCTGGGGCTCGCAACAAGAAGACCAGTCACTGTTGTCGTAGCACTACCCACTCAGTGAGATTGGATAACACTGGGAAAATGTACCCGTTCCACTTGGGAAGCCCCATCCTTCCCGAAGGAGGTTTCAGAAGCACATACACTTACACAACCGTTTAGGTGCATATGGAAGATTAGAGGTGATTATAACCCTCTTGGGAATGGCAGAAGTCTGCTGGGGAAACACGGGCTCTCAGGCTATACCGTGGACTTCACACATATGGGATCCACTTAGGTCTCTACATATGGAACCCAGCCCTCTACCGGTTCTCATGGATTCATCGAGTGAGGGCCTGGCGCCGGACGTTCCGCCACATCTGGCTGCTGAGGGGATGGAGGAGCTCCATAGGGTCTAAAGTATGGACACTCTGGAGCAGTTTTAGCAAGCTGACACTAAACCGGGGCCTCTAGAAAACAGGAGGATACCGGCTCCACACGAAGGCTATAGAATCTAGCGAACGTGTTGGGGGTCGCCCAGCCCGCAGCTCTACAAATATCTGTCAGCGAGGCGCCACGAGCCAGCGCCCAGGAGGATGCATCACTTCTAGTAGAGTGAACTCGCAACCTGAGCAGGCAGGGCACACCCTGTGCCTGATAAGCCAGGGTGATAGCATCCACTATCCAGTGGGCCATCCTCTGCTTA